GTCTATCACAGACTTAATTAGGACGTAATGGATGAGGGGGATGGGACTTTGGAAGGAGGCAGGAGTTGTGGATGTTCAAATTTTTTCTAAGTGTTGTGTGAAATGCAAGAAAGGTAAGAGTTGCTTTAAGTAGAGCCCAAACAGACATTGTTAACTTCAGCTCACGTCTGGCCAGAAGGCTCATCCTGTGTAAATGGAAGGACTCTTCACCTCCAACATATGGACATTGGATCAAGGATGTTATGTATCATTCACTATTGGAGAAAATCTGTTGTTTTAATAAAATCAATTAAATTTAATTATTTTGTTGTCACTTTTCGCTTTAATATTTTTTTTATTTATATCTACATTTTTTTAAATTAATTTATTCTTTCTTTCTTTCTTTCTTGTCTATTATATTTCCTTTGACTGGTCTGGCTTTCTCTGTTTGTCCCCGGGTTGATAGGTGGGTGTGTTGTCTTTTTGTTCTTACTGGTTCTGTGTTTGTTTATGAATACCTTGTTTAAAAAAGAAAAAGTCCATTCCTCTTCACATCCAGATCCTCAGTTGCCTCTTCCTCTCATCACCACCACCAGCGTCTAGACTCCTTAATTTACTACAACTTTACCACCCTCTTGGAATAGATGACATCACGACAGGGTCTAATCGCACTTTCGTACTTACGTGCACATGTAAATAAATATTCCTTTCTCTCAGAACGAGTCTCTCGTGATAGAAATTTATTTGTTTTGGGTCAATGTGGAGATGCGGTACCTTGACTTTGACTTGTCAGGTATATAATTTGCCATATTAACCAAAAACAAGCACAGCTGTCTGGTTTCTTTTTCCAAACATAACAGATTTTCCAGCACCTTTACTTTATCAGTTGTTATATATTGATAATGACATCAGTGCTATTCTGTGCTCCACATTTTGCTTCTGGGAGAGCAGCTGCTTCATAGCCATGTATTCTTAGCTTGTCACAACTGACAAAGCACAAGTGTGTACTTCTATATGATATGATGTTGAAATCCTATCAACTTCTGGATGTCACCGCGTTTCCTGCGAGTGAACAGACATAACACTGGGGTTCACAACATTCATGCAAAAATCCGAAAAGAGAAGCTGTGCTCTAACTTTTAAATCCCTGGCACAAAATGTCAAGCCCCGAGCTAGTAACCTTGGTGTGTTTTCTTGATGCCTATTTGAATTTCACATCAGAAGTAGCAAAAAAAAAAAAATAAAAATAAAAAAAAAAAAAAAATCCACCTTTTATCATCTCAGAAATATTGCCGATGTACAGCTCTCTCTCTCTCCCTCCTGGGCAGATACTGGAGGAATAAAGCATTCTTTCATCACTAGCTGGCGTGATTACAGCAAACCTCTGATTTTTTTTTTGGTCTGCCAAAGAATCCTCTCAGTTTTGAGTTGTCTAATGCGGGCCTTAGATGTGTGTCAGCCTGTACAAACAGTTTGTGCAGCCAAAATTAACTCAGAGTGTAATGAAGCAATTATGAAACAAAATCTGATTGATACAAATTTAACAATGAGGAAATGACTGTCCCTTGAAAGGAATACTTCATCCTCCATATTACCATGAGTATATCAATTACTCTTCATGTCTCAAGTGGACAAAGAATCCAAAAACTATGAAACAGTCTTGGTACATTCAAGTCTTAGGCAACCATGTTTAAAAAACTATATAAAAGAGTCCATTTACAAACACATGTGAAGGACTTCTGTTGTGTCACAGCCTTTAACCTTGGTCGGTAAAGGAAATAGATGATAGTTATGCTTAAGGTAACAGTTGGGTTAGCAGAAGGCCTAAAAGAGGCCTCCAGGTCAGGCTACTTTACCTTGGTTATGAATGCACTCCATCTATCGTCTCCCAGTTGTGGCGGAGGAAGTACAGCTGCCCAGATAAGGGTGTGTAGCCGACTCTGTTGCCATAGCTCCCAAGGTTAAGGAGAAAGGAGACTTCCCTGTGCTCCAAGCTCAATTGACAAAATAGTCTTTTTAGGTACGTGCATTTTGTTAGAGACAGTCCAGGTGAGTTAGAGTGAGCCAGGTGAATGTGCTTGTTGTTTAGTAGTAGCCAATAGAAACTTCACAAAGCCATAGATTGGGATCGAATAATCTTGTTTGGGATCGTGGAGTAACTTGCAAGGGAATACTGTTTGGGTTAAATGCAAGAACTGGGCAAGGACACCCTGAGAATCTCTGGATGGCATACATTGTGTTACGCTCTGTATGTTGAGCTGTGATTCTCCTCAGTTGAGTCTTCATTAAATATTGTGTGTGATCCATCGAAGTCTTCTGAGGTCTTCGCCAGCTATTAAACCATCAGCTCTGAAATTCCTTCAACATCACACAGCTCATGCGATATAGTTTCATTTATCTAGTCATAAGCTCATTACTTCCCAAACAGACGGTCTTTTTCGACGACGAACTTAACTTTTAGTTTATCTTCTCTATCTCCTTTAATTTTAGCTTATATTGGAGTTATGCTATGTAGCATGTGAAATAGAGTATGGTGAATGTGCTAGGAAAGTTAGTATCGGCAAGGTCACTACCTGGAGCTCGCATGTAAGGAGCCTGGGTTTGATGAAGCTGACTGTGCTGTTTGGGCTGAGACAGCCATGTGTAAGTAAGGTAAAGGAGGTTATTGGGTTGGTGCAGGGAGGGGAGCAGTGAGACCTGGCATTAGGGAAGTGTCTCAGGAAGGCCAGAGATCACTGTCTAGCCTCCTGGAGGTGTCGTGGGACCAACTAGACGAAACACTGGTGAAAGGAGGTTCCCACCTGATGACCCCAAAGACATGTTAGTTATCACTGCTCACTGGTCTGTATAGTTAAGCCTTGCCATAATAGCTTATCATAGGGCTTAGGAAGTTATTCACTGAGCGATGATCCTTTCTCTAGAGCACAAATTTCTTGTGTTTATTTGAACTTAAAGAAAAACTTACCTATGTCCTCTTTAATGCCAGACTTCATTGACAAAAAAGCAATTTTACCTGGCTGAACACAGGAGCTGCTGGTCTACTGCTGCCTTAGTCAGTAAGTTTGTTTGTGTTTTTGTGTATCTTTGGTTAATCTGAACTAAACCTTTAAAACACCAAAGTCACTCAATAACACAAACTAACTGATTGAGGCAGCAGTAGACCAGCAGCTCCTGTGTTCAGAGAGGTAAAATTACTGTTTTTGTCAATGAATTATGCAAAGACAGGGAAAAAGTCCGTCTTTGCATTTTCTTTTGATCACAGTCTGTTTTTATAAAAGTGTCTGTGACATCAGAAAAGTGGCTTTGACTTGTAACTGAAAACATGTAGCCCATTTTGTAGAAAATACCGAGATATATATCATGCATTGCCACTCAGCCTCTAAATACAAACATATGAATTTTTGTCCATATGGCACAGCCCTATTCCCCATTGGAAAAGTCTGTCTGTTTATAAAGTACTGACCATACGACACGATAAATGAGACCAACACTGCATTTATAAATAGATGTTCTGATAAAGTTTTGCTGTTGTTACATGCGGCCCACTTTTACTTCAATTCATCAAGAGTCTTCTGTTTTTGGATTCTTCTTTCTCTGGAGGCTTGCAAGCAAAACCAAGTTTCTTTATGAATTCAGTGTAACATTTGGAAAGTAATGATATATATAAGGTCACTTGTACCTACATACTGTGGCAGCTGAATCACTGTGGACACTCCCTAGGGAACAGACATACCGCTCTGTTTTTGGGAATGATGAAAACATTTGGAGTGGTGTATTTTTCTCCCGGGAGCCATCTTTGGCATTTCTGTAACATTCTCAAGAGATTACAGTTGCTGGCTATGTGTTGCTATTTGAGTGCAAGCTAAAGTCAGTTAGCAAACTGAAAAACAAAATGAACAATGACAGCAATATAGTCCACGATGAGCAGTGCTAAAATCAACCTGCGTAGTTGTCCCTCCATTGTGACATTAGAAAGTGTCACATTTATCTTGCAAGTGTACTCTTCTTCAATGTTTGCTTTACTTCCTGGATTCTTCCCACATGGAAATTCTGACCAATCAAGAGCAGCTTTCTCACACGAGGCATTTGATCTGGTCCTCTTGTAAATGCTGTCGTGAGAACACAAACCAACTCTAGGCAATGCAGCATCAGTGTGAAGAGTTTCAGCTGACTTTTTCATATATGAGGGCCAGAGGTTTTGAGCACATAATGAATTATTGTGTTATAATAACAGAAAATTTATGTTTTTTGATTAAAATCAGTGTAAAATTTAATGAGTGCATTTTGTGTCCTCATGTTATTCCATCTATGACAGAGCAGGCTCCCCAAATTGGCCCTCAATCACCAAATTGTAGAGAAAAACTTTCCAAATTTCATTCAGAATGTAGCAACACACATGCAAGACCTGAAATAAAGCCGGTATTGCACCTGTTTTTAACATCACTCCACTTACTCCATGTCAGTTTTAGGAGAAATTTCAACATTTGTCATCAAATCACTCAGTGGACCAGCACATGAGTACATGTCAGACAGGCTTTTAAGAAATGTCGCTTCTGGATTCATCTGGCCCGCTGGGACTGGCTTTCATGTTCTGTAGCTCCATGGACCAGAACTAAGACCTGCGAGGAGGCAGACTCCACTATGTGTGGACTTAAAGAAGCATGTTTTAGTCTATATATAGATCTCATCTCTGGGACAGCCTCTTTCAATCTTGGTATTGACATTGCTGATCTGACTGAATGTGCTTTGTTTATTTCATATTTCCACCATGTTGTTACATCTATTTGTGTTGATCTTTTTTAAATCTATTCTCTGTGAACATTTTGTTTTGCAATCTTCCACGAAAAGCACAAAGTTAGATTTGAATTATATGTAACAACCACTCCTGTGCTGAGCCTTAAGAATACAAAAAGAAAGCCCACAAAGGTATCACTTAACTCCACCATGCCAAATCGCACTGCATAAAACATCAAAGGGTGAAAATGGGCTGCTCAGGAACAAAGAGTAATGATTGCACTCACTCGATGTGATGGACGTTCTCGCCGTCTTTCTGCCACACATAGGTCATGTTCGGGGGGTCGGCCACCGCCTGACACTGGAGGAGTGCATTCTGGGACTTGTTGAGAGAGGTGCTTTTGGGAGGGACGATGATGACAGGCGGACCTGGTGGGAGGCAGATTATCAGGTGAAAAAAAGGGCTGCAAATAATGATCGGTATTGATTCATTTGTTTTTTGATCAACTGACGAATCATTCAGTTTATAAAATGTCAGAAAAACCGAAACCACCTGAAAACATCCAAGCAATCAGCGTTTGATATGCAGAGCACAACACCTTGTTTTCCCCATAAAAGCTGGTCACTCACTCAAAAGCGTTTCACTCATGTCAAAAGTAAATAACTCCATCTCTGAGCGCATCGCTGCCATCAACATGACATGTCCCTTTATCATCACTTCAGTGAGGTGTCTGAGGAACTGCGTCAGTGGCAGAAGACACTAAAACTCTGTATCTTTGTCATCTCTCATTGAGACTTCAGCACAGTAACCCTGATAATAATGCTTTCTAAAGCAAACTGAATAAGCTCATGTTTAGGAAACAGGTACTCAAGTATATGTTTGAGCCAGGAATCTACTTTTAACTTCACTACATTCACCCTTTATACCTTTGTTATAACCCGTCTGCTTTAAATGCAGTGATTTCGTGTCGGGGGCGAAAAGCACATGAGGAACACCTTTGCTGCAGATGCCAAGTTCCCATCTGCCTGGGGGAAAAAGACACCGCAGGCATTTCCAAAACTGGGCCCTACTCATTCCCACGCCATCTCAGAGTGTCACTCTGTTTGTAGTCACCTTCACAGCTAAGGGGATAGGTGCAGGGGATAAACACAGCGGCAAGCTTTGGGACTAACTTCCCTCTACGTGGTGAAAAAAGGAGTGTTGGAAAATAAAGCTTGATCTAATTTTATGTTTTTCATAATAGAGAAAAATATTAAATCTGTATGTGCTGCTCTTGTTTACCTTAATTTTTGTAGATAGAAAGATAGATAGATAGACAGTGTTGCAGGGGTTAGCACTGTTGCCTCACAGCAAGAGGGTCCTGGGTCCAAACCCAGGAGGGAGCCCTTCTGCGTGGAGTTTGCATGTTCTCCCCATGTCAGTGTTGGTTTACTCCAGGTACTCCAGCTTCCTCCCACAGTCCAAAGACATGCAGGTTAATTGATGACTCTGAATTGTCCATAGGTGTGAATGTGAGTGTGAATGGTTGTCTGTCTCTATGCGTCAGCCCTGTGATAGTCTGGTGACCTGTCCAGGGTGTACCCTGCCTCTCACCTAATGTCAGCTGGGATAGGCTCCAGCCCTCCTGCGACCCTCAAGAGGATAAGCGGTTACTGAAATGGATGAATAGATATCCTTCCTAGAGAAGGATCTATTTCATCCTTTATACAATGTATTTATGTGTTTATTAGGCTAATTGTGAAACTTTATTTGTACAGAGCGTCTCCCATGACGAACGCATCACGTTGTTGTACATGGTCAGTGAGCAGGCATCGGTGCAGACTCGCTGTCGGAGGGTTGTGTAACTCACTTCCACTCCTCACTAGTTGGTTTGGGATGGCACTCAGTGTGGCGGACCCTCTGATATGATGATATCTCCTTTCATCGTTTTGCGGACGATGTGCACGTTTATTTGCCGTTACGAATAATAGAGACTCACTGCAACCCCTGTTCAACTGTTTGAGAGATCTAAAAACTTTCTGTGCGTGAATGAAAATAAGACTGAAGTTATTGTGTTTGGTTGTTGTGATCAGCTGGATGGAAGTGCTGCCACTCTTGGCCCTTTAGGGTCATACATTCGACCATTTGTTAAAAATATGGGCGTGGTTTTTGACAGTACGTTTAAATTCGAAAAGCAAATTAGCTCTGTTGTCAAAACCAGCTTTTTCCAGCTGAGACTTCTGGCCAAAGTCAAGCCGTATCTGTCTTACAAGGATTTTGAGAGAATCATACATGCTTTCGTAACAACTCGGCTTGACGACTGTAACTCTCTTTATGTGGGTCTGGACCAGTCGTCACTCCGTGGATTGCAGTTAGTGCAAAATGCTGCTGCTCGGATTTTAACTAAAACAAGAAAACATGAGCACATCACCCCAGTCTTGTTCTCACTTCACTGGCCTCCTGTCGGCTTCACGATTGATTTTAAGATTTTATTGCTTGTTTTTAAGGTTTTAAATGGCACAGCACCTCCTTATTTATGCGAGCTCTTACACATCCACACACCTGTCAGAGCTTTGAGGTCATCCAGTCAGATGTTGCTGGATGTCCCTAGATCTAGACTTTTCCGTGGCTGCTCCTAACTTTTGGAATAGTTTACCCATGCAGATAAGAACTGCTCAGACCGCTGAATCTTTCAAGACATGTGAGCTGATCTTTGACATCTTGAGTCCACATATTGTTTTTGTTTGTTTGCCCTGTGCTTCTGTATTTTGTTAGTTTCTTTTATGCTTGTGAAGCACTTTGGTCAACTCTGGTTGTTTTTAAATGTGCCATATAAATAACTTTGACCTTGACCTTGACCTTGACCTCTGTGTGAATGTGGAAATGGAGTGGAAGTGGTTCAGAAGAGGGTGTAAGAGGGGGTGGTTTGGGAAAGGTCCCACCTGTCTTTAGACCATGATGCGATGATGATGGAGCACATCTGGCCAACTTTTTAACAAATACGGAAAAACAGCAGCAGTTACATGAAGTGTTGTGCCTCTGGAATAACACTGAGATCTCTGCTTTTAAAAAGTCCTCTTTAACCTCTGCAAGCAGATTGAAGTAAATTATACATACTGAAGGTGAAAATGTAATTAGGTAGTTAAAATTAGCTATGGTAATTTTTCATGTGTAACTTTAAAGTTCAGATGAATCAGCATTTTGACACTGTCTGGTTTCCATATCTAACATATCCCTGATGGTGTAAATCAAGTATATCCAGCGACTGGATGTTCATATCCGTCAGTGAGAGAAAGACAAAGTCCACTGCATGCTCCAGTTGCTAAAGCAGTCCACTGCAAAATGCCTTGTTCATAATTTGGTGCTGTCACAGATACAACTTTCCTCAAGTGAATACATTTTCTAGCCATGGTATTTTGGGGAAACGAAGACACAACAATGTAGCATGCTGTTGCTTGCTAGCTTAATAAATCTTATCTCTGTGCAGCAAAATGCTGCAGATTGATTGATGGGTGGATGTCATGATATTGGCTGGTAGAAGCTTACATAATGACAATGGTGTAGTGAAGGGTATACGCAGATATACAAGGTATACCCATCTATTTTTCTGGCACTTTACAGTGTACACACCTATCAGCCAAAAAGCCACTGGAATATATAGGAAATTATACCAACTGCCTCCGTGGTAACCGACCCATCTATCAAGTGGCACACCCACTTCATCAACTACCACCTCACCACTGTGCAAGCACACGTCATATGATGGATTGTAATATAAGAATATGAGGAAATAGATTTTTTGTAAATGTTTTTGCATGTTCTGTTAAATATGTGCACAGTATGGCTAGGGATGTGATCTGAAAGGGTTAAAAAGGCATTTTTCACTTCATCTCGTCTTTAATCTTTGATGTTATAATGAGGCAGAGAGGCCAGAGAGGAGGAGATGACAGTGGGAGATTGTTCATATCTCAGTTGGATGGGCTTTCCTTACTTTTTTGATTAGTCTACCTGCTCGACTTCATTAAAACATGTTTCATCAACAAGAGCTGCTTTTTCATCAGTTTGCAGTGGCCCACACATCCTCAAAATATTAAAATGTGAAGCAACTTGAACTGTTTGACTCTAACTAGCTACTTTTTTATTTTAACCTGAGTGGGTTTTTCAAACGCTCATTGTCACTTTTACATGAGAGTAATTTCACTTTTACATAATAACTAGTCCATACCCATTGGTAGCTTTGCCACCTTCTACCTATGCCAATCCTCAATGCCTATGTGCAGTTTCACATAGATTGACCATGTCAGTGAGTAGAAAAACGTGGGACAGACAGAATGACTGACTGACAGAATGACACACTGACAGTTTCAGTGATTATGTACAGCATACCATACCATGACTTAGTCATACCAAAAATTAGAAAAAAACAACAACATTGGTCCACAGGGGGAGCCACAGCGATCGGTCGCATTTTAGCCATGTTTAAGCATTTTTCTGTTGTTATAGCGCCACCCAGTTGCCAATTAGAGTTAAATTTCTCCAGTCACCTTGAGGCGTCCTCTTCTACATATCTACCAAGTTTAGTAAAAATCCATATGGCAGTTAGGCCTAGATAAGAAATTAGCTCTCTAGCGCCCCCATTTTGTTTGATGGGGTCAATAATAGAGGGGTCCCCTCAGATTATGTGTGGTCATATGCCTACAAAGTTGCGTGGTGATGGGTGAGACCCTTGAGATGTTATACACCTTTATGTGATGAGCCACGCCCTCCGCAATATTCATTGCCTTATAGAAGCTCAGTTTTAGTAAGTTTTCCAACTTTTGCCAAGAGGGAACTTTAGATATTGGTCCCTAGATTATGTTCACCCAGTTTCATGCAGATGGGTCAAACTTCCTAGGAAGAGATCGATTTTAAGTATTTTTCAAAAAATTCAAAATGGCGGAAAATCTATGGAACCGGAAGTTACGGGTTCTTAGGCAAATTTGTTCCTCATGAGGAGAGGCATCTCTGTGCAAAGTTTCATGTCTCTACGACATACGGGGCATGAGATATGCCCATTCAAAGTTTGCAATTTCAATCGGTTGCTATAGCGCCCCCCTTTGGCCAATTGATGTAATATTGCTTCATTGGCATCCTCCCATGACCCTCTACCACTGTGCCAAATTTCACATGGATTGACCAAGTCAGTGAGGAGAAAAACGTGGAACAGACACACACACACACCCACAGAGAGAGTATTCATCATTATATAGTAAGATAGATTTTGAGCACTCACCACTAGATGCTGAAAGACTCACAACCAGGAGACATAAATTAATCCATCTTACTATCAACTCTACCCTTAATATCTTCTACATATCAAAGATGCAATAAGGAGGGTGCAGATTTGTTTTCACATGCTATGGAGCTGTGAGATTGGAGAGCTATTGGACATTGAAGATCAGTAACATACTATATAGAGACATTAAACTGGAATCAAGTCTCGGCTTAACGACCAAACAACAGCAAACTCAGAGAAAATCATCACTTGTGCCCTCTGTGGCGTAAATGTGATAAGTGGCACTGAAGCTTGAGAATAAACATGTTATCTGGATGTGAAGATTCATCTGCTATCAATTCATGTGGCATTTACATAATGCTGGATGAAATAAGTGAAAATATGCAGCGTTTATGTTTGAAAGGTCATGATTTATACAACAAGCAATAGATTTATACAATAAGCATGCCGATACATGCTTGGGAGGAAGGCAAACCAAGGAAAAGTAAGTGCATCAGTGGGAACAATGAGAAATGCATACTGTTTTGAGTGAATGAGCTGTAGATCTGACAATCAATGTACACACGGCACGCCGAGAATCATGACTTTCATTTGACAATTACGCCACAGCAACTGAAAAAGCTGTCAAGGAAAACCTTTTCAAAGACAAAACAAAAAAGTTGAATAAAAGCTTATTTCATAATATCACTGAGACTCAATAGTCTCAAATATACCAATGTTATCTCCTTGGAAACCAATCACATACAGCTACTACAACATGCTGCTAAAATGTCACATTTATCTCTTCCCCGTAGCGTGCCGAACTCCAACACGTGTGCTATTTGCAAAGAGCTAATACAGGAGGCTTGACATACCACATGCCTCATGTATAAATAACCACATGATCTCCACAGCAGTCATTACAGATTGGATTTATAACCTTAAAATGCGTGATGGGTATATGCATGAGTGACAATTTAGAGGTTACTTAAGGCTTTTAGACTGACTTCATCCAGATCAGCTATTAGTCTCCTGTAATCCATCCATGTGGCAACGCCGCGCAAAAACGCAGCCAAAGCTCAGATAATGTGACTTAGACTGAACAGTGTTAGGGCGGTATGTGCTCATGGTGTTGATTATTATTCAAAATGTGACCACTGCATCTGAGAGATTCCAAAATGAAGTGAAGCCTCGAGGAGACGTTGTGCCAAAAACAAAATATTTCCCCATGCACCACGCTCCAGACGAGTCCCTTTTCTCCGGAGAAAATCAGCAGTAGGTGTAGGAGTAGGAGTACAGGAAGAAGTCAGAAATAAATTCCACAATGTATTATGCAGCGCTGTGTCGGTGTAATCCTATGATACACAGTGGCATATTTGCATATTCTACATGTGTACGTCCTCACATCGGACAGTTAATTTGGAAATCTGCAAACTTCTATGAATCCGTCAGTGCTGGAAACATCACATCTCATGATATATTTTCCTCAATACCTCAAGAGAAATGTAAATTTTTCACTCAACCAGGAACATTTTTAGAATAAAAAATGATTAATAATGTGAATCTGATGACCAGAAAAAGATGTTTCATTTCAGTCAGCTACGGCAGCCTGGTGAGCCCCGGAAAAAGAACTCCCATCTCTGAAATACCGGCTTCAAATTGAGCAAAACACAAAGCTTTATCACGACAAAGCAACTCCAAAAAATCCCAGTTGAAATCCTGTCTCATATCATGATATCAATATTATCTACACAGGGATAGAATGAGAGTTGAATTCAGCTGGAGTTTCTGTAACCACTCTGTCATATGATGCAAGAAGGAGAAACAGAAATGTAAATTTGGGTGGCTCCCAGCCAGTCAGGCACACACACATCACAGAGACTGAAGGAACTGGCAGGCAGGCACACAGAAAGAAAGACAGACAGGCAGACAGGCAGGCACACACACAGAAAGACAGACAGACAGGCAACAACTGACCTTTGATCTTCACTCTCGTCACGCGAGTCACGTTTCCCTCAGAGTTGGAGGCGTGGCAGGTGTACTGTCCTGCTGACTGCATGCTCGCTGCTCGCAGAGATAAGGCTCCTTCCTGGTAAATAAATATGACACGGCAGATAGACTGAGAGGCACATGGATGTGAACAGTGCACATAGATACATACATTAGATAGGTAGGTGTAGGATACACAGACAGGTGCACACATATTGTACATGTGATGTACATATATACAGACAGATACATAGGAGAGATGATAGATGAATAGATGTGGAATGCTGCATTTACTCAAGTACTGTACTTATGTACCACTTTTCAATCATGACCTGGTTACTCAAGATAATCCACTGACGTTGTTGTGAGCCGTTTCATGTAGGAACTATTTTCTGTAGCACTTTACTTGAAGGTATCTACACAAAGGTGACATGACACTGTCATAACTATGACATGACACGGTCATGAACCTGTCATGAACATTATGTACAGGTCATAAATGTTTATGACTGCTGTCACTAAGTGTCATTAGGTTTTGTAATGACAAGCTGACATTGTTTGGGTTGTCTTGATTATGACAACTTGACATTAATCAAAGTGACATTACCAGAAGTTGTCTTTGTCATGACAGGTTGACATTAAATTCGTTTGGGATGTCCTTATTATGACAACTTGACATTAACCAGGATGCCATTACCAGAAGATGTCTTTATGTTAATGTCAAGTTGTCATAAGAAGGACATCCCAAACTAACTTAATGTCAACCTGTCATGACAAAGACAACTTCTGGTAATGTCACTTTGATTAATGTCAAGTTGTCATAATCAAGACAACCCAAACAATGTCAACTTGTCATGACAAAGACAACTTCTGGTAATGTCATCCTGGTTAATGTCAAGTTGTCATAAGAAGGACATCCCAAACAAATTTAATGTCAACCTGTCATGACAAAGACAACTTCTGGTAATGTCACTTTGATTAATGTCAAGTTGTCATAATCAAGACAACCCAAACAATGTCACTTGTCATTGCAAAAACCGAATGACACTTAATGACACATAACACGTACATGTCATAAACATTTATGACATGTACATAATGTTTATGACAAGTTCATGACAGTGTCATGTCATAGTTATGACAGTGTCATGTCACCCTTATGTAGATACCTTCAAGTAAAGTGCTACCCTATTTTCTTTCTACCAAACTACACCCACCAATCTCATCACCAGGCAGAAGAAGCCAAGAATCTGATACCTCACCTAGCAGGTAAGAGGAGAAATATGTATTCTTGATTTTAGGGTGAACTGTCCCTTTAAGCTAGCACCAACAAGCAAGTAGTTTACCTTAATGTTAGTCTGGTTAGCCTGGCTACGCCCCCTGTATGCTTTGTGTCTTTTTGAAATAAGCTTTCGTTTTCACAGGAAACACACAGTTTCCACATGTTAAATGCGCACAGTCTTTTTTCAAAATAACCCCTACAACCAAGGTTAAAATTACGCTTTTTCATTTACTTTCTTGAATTTAGGCAACAAAAGCCCATGGTTAGGTTTAAAGGAAAACATCATGGTTTGGCTTAAAGTAACGTGGTCGTTACTAACACAATGTGACATCACGTGACATACATCACTAGCGTAGCATGCTGCACATATTAGCACACTATGTTGTTTTAAAAATAACTTCGACTTTCAGTTTCACGCAGGACAAGTCCAGAGGGACTCCCAGGTGATCATCCATAGTTTGTTTGACCCATCCACCACCACCCCCTCCCACCTTATGCAGACTCTCCCACTTTTTAAGCTGAAAACACATCGGTGCCGCCACGGTGCCGTGTGTCAGGTAACACGTGCCATGTGCTCCCCCTAGCACACACTAGATGCTTCACGCTGCGGCTTGTCAATAGACGACCACACAAAGTTGCTACTTTCACTGAAAGATCTGTACTTCCTCCACCTTTGTGATAGCTTAAAATCAATAAAGTTGATTTCTCACTCAAAGAGTTATGACTCACCAGGCAGTATCTTTCTGGCTATTGTCTTTATAATGATGAGATTGTGGGTCCTTTAGCTCAGGATATTTCTTGACCTCAACAACAGGTCTCTCCTCATCCATTCTTTGTTTTACACGAGAAAGCAACAACAACAGAGTTCTCTGTATGCATCTATGGTGAGGAGAGGAGTCAAGCTGCCATAGGAGCAGAGAAGAGGAGCTGTTACAGGAGCTGGCATGTACAAGCAATGAGTGATTGGGGGAAAATGCATTAAATTCAAGGGGTGGCCAGCCTGGAAAAAAGACAGTGGCGTAAAGTGCCACAGGGCAGTGTGACCATGAGTGCTGATGCGTATCTAGATGCTGCCGGTGTGGGGTTGTACATTGAAAATAATAGGGGTGTATTTTTTGACGTGCACTATTTGCTGCCAGTGTGTTTTAGCCTTTTATATGACAGTAGTTACCCAGGGAGTCAAAACTGCTGCCGCCAGGTGCGTCTTATACAACTGCTAAGGGTGCCTCTGTGTGTCGGTGACTGACGCTGACGGCTACTGATCAAACGTCGTTTTTTCCAAACAGACGATACAGTACATAGACATATATATATGATAGATACAGAGACACATTAACAAACTCCTTATATTCATACACAATGCACACACAACCATATTAACATACCTGATAATTTCTTCTTGGAATCACGCTGCCATCTTTTAACCAGGTGATGGTCGGAGTGGGATTGCCATTGGCAGCACAGGCAAGAGAGACGGAACTTCCAACGAGAGCCTCAATCACAGGGGGCGGGGCTTCAGTGAACATGGGAGGGGCTATTGAACAAAACATGAGAAAAACATTTAACTAAAACAGGTCTACTCATCTATACATGAGGAAAATATCTATTGTTTAAGATTCACAAGACAAAATCAGAAAACGTCTCCCAGCAGAGGTGAATTGAGGCGAATAAAACTAATGTTACATATGGACACTTCACTGTCTACAGCTAAAAAGAAATCTAAAGCAAGATCCACACTGTCTTCCAAGCAGCAGCAATAAGAGGAAAACTGCAAAGAGAGAAGCCGGACTAGCTGACAATAACTCCTTTGTCTCCCTCATCCCTTTTTTATCAATTTATATACAGCGTGACAGCAGCTCGGCCTTGTTTGTTAAACAGCGGCAGCCTGCGTTCAGTTTACTGACATCAACTTACATTATTATTTCACATTCCAAAGTGAAAATGTCAGTTTACGCTGCCTTTTAGATCTGCGAGCGTGAGCGTTTTGCTGCCACTTTTAAGGCTCAGATCTCATCAGAGAGCATACAGAGAGCCTTTTTTATCCAACGTCCAACTCCAAACATAAACAAACCCCTTGCAACTTCAATATTTTATTTCAATTCCTCTGACTCATACCCTTACTGAACTCGTGTATAATAAATAACCAGAGAAAAGGTTTGAAAATGGCTTCAGTATTTTAGTTTGTTTTACAGGAATAAGAGTCATTTTTCTTTTCTTATCTGGATTACAGGCTGAGATGTTTGTTTTAGTGTTTGTACACAGGAGAGACCTGGTGAAATTCTGCTCTATAATTAGAAAATAACCTGCCAAATACTCCTGGTCCCTTTTAAAAAAAAAAAATAAATAAATAAATCAGCTCCTGCATGTAAATAGATTTCGTTCTTTGAGCTCTGCATTTCCAGCCTGTGGAGGCCACTGACAATCTCAAATATTGAGGCAGAGTGCAAACAATGGGATGTGAAGAGCATACCTGCAGGGCACGTCAGTGATGTTACACCCAAAGCCTCAAGTACACAGTCATAATCTATTATAATTCTCATCTCTAACCTGACGCACACAGACCAACTCGGTGAAACTGTCTCGCCTGGCTTTGATCTGCAGCGTGCACTGATACTTTGTTCTGTATGTCTGCACGTAGAGTCATGGCAGAGGTTTTTTCCCCCAAATAAGGATAAACTTCAAAGCAGAAAAAATAATGATGCATATTTCATATTTAGATTTATTATTTAAACCTATCAATACGTATGATGACAACTCTATTCAGAGATGATTCCTTCCCAAAAACTACATGAAGAAAGCCAAAAGTTATCCAAACTCCCTAATCTGTCTAGACGGTGTGAAAAAAAGTCTTTAAAATAGAAGTTTTTGGAAAAGCTGTTCTATAACTTTTCAAAAGTTTGAGTTTAAACAGGTGCTATACGTACAGTAAGACATGAGCAGTGCTGCAGAATAGATGGAATAAAATAAAAGATCAGATGGGCATAAGGTGCAGAAAGAAGATTTTTTAGATAAAAGTACACATTTAACTAAACTGCTTAATGAGGAACTGAATATCCACGTGTATTGGGAACTCACTGATCTGCATTAATTAGCTAAGATATGGACAGTTGCTGAAATACTGCAGGAATGACAACCTGAAATACAGGATCTACATAATTTCTGGATAATAAAGACTTTAAGACTTAGTCATCTTTGCTGCCACCAAAGTGCAATCCTGCTTAGTGAAGCTTTAATGTCAAATTGAAATAAAAATGTACTTAGCTAAAAAGAGAATCAGACATACAGAATAAATGTATGTTTTATTTATTTCTCTGCAGTGACAGTGAATTCTTGGTTTGGACTGAGATTCCATCACTACAGAGGGACCCAAGAAAGAGACACAGTTAACATCAGGTAAACCCCTCCTTTGTATAATGTGGGGCGAACACAACACCGTGAGAGTGCCAACAATGACTCAGCAGGTGTTGAAATGACATTGTCAATAAGCGCCCCTTTTGTACCGTCTGTTCAAGGACGAAATTTCACGCAATTATTCCAACTTGCCATTCTTTATCAGAGGTACAATCGAAGAGCAGGGTGACAGTTTTCTCGCCTTAAAGCCAGTAGCAGAGGTAGTAACAGTGCCGAATCAATATCTGTGTAAAAAGGGAAAACCAGCAGGACAGACCCATGGATGGGACAGGTGTGAGGTTTTGATGATGTGTTATGTTTGTAAAATCATAAATGGGATTAATATAAATGATTTAAAACAAGTATAAATTTGCAAATGCAATGTTTGCATGGCAAAACATTCTTTAAAATTAGCGCTTGCCTAAGCATAAACAAGACTTGAAACAAGAGAAGCTTAGACATGGAGCTGCACATTTGAGGGTCTTTCAATGTCGACAGAAAAGCCAAAGACTTGTGTGACAAACAAGCATTTGGTGGCACTGTGGGTACTCTCCATCCATTCCAATTCCAGTCAGACACACAGCTCAGAGAGCAATTGCTTCTCCTCACATAACCTAATTTGGCCAGAATCATGCCAAACCATGACTGAAGTCACTTAGACCATTTAGCTAACAGTCCATATCCACTCACGCACCCCGTACATTACACTGACAGTTTAAACCAGGTCATCTACACTATACCGTTAGCAGTGAACTCAATGAAGAAGAGCAGCACCTGAAAATATTCACAAATTAGGAAAACAATGAGGTCCAGGAGCTCCTTAAGATTCAAGCAGAGGACGAGATCAACCGCCATGTGACAGGGAAGGTAAAGCATAGGCGGCTTCACTTTTGGGGAGCTGAAATGTTGACTATCTTTATTATATCATTATTATCTTATTAAGTTAGAGGATGCCACCCTGGGGGTACTGCAAGTCCTCAAGGGGGTACCACAAGGATCTCTGCCAGGCCCTTTATTATTTACGATAAACATAAATTGCACTGGACAGAATATACCAAGCTCTGCCTTTCCTTTCTATGCTGATGATACTGTCCTTTATTGCTTTGCACTCACCCCTGCTACGGCTTTTAACTATCTAGTATAGTATAATATTTATCTAGTATGCATTTCATAGAGTACAAGAACAGCTGCAACTTGCTCTAAATGCAGAAAAAAACAAAGTTGTGTTTTTGTTTTTTGTTTTTTTTAATCAAGAACAGCTAATTCTGATTAGAAAAGTGTTACCAGAAGTGGTCAACAAATTGAGTTGGTTTCCAGTTTTAAATACCTAGGGGTTCTGTTTCATCATTCCTGACAGCTAGACAGCGGTGCTTTAGCACTGGATATCTCCATCTCGTGTATGTGCACGTCATCACAAAATCTGCTCCCACAGAATCTTCTCACCCAAATTTTAAGTGACCAACAACTATGGCGGTTATCCAGAATTCATAGAAACATAGTTATAGCTGCAACTCTCCTTTAAGTTGATGACCTCTTGCCTTTAAAGGAGCATTCGAGAAGTTTTTACTTGGCTTCTATTTCAGAATAAGTCTTACTTTTCTTTTTGTGTGAAACAAATTGATGGAGTCTACCATTATACCTGTCATTGAATATGGCAATGTGTTGTGTATGAATGCCCCTGCTTGCTGTCTTCACAAGCTAGATAGCGTGTATCACAGGGCTCAAAGATTCATTACAAATTGTGAATCTCTGACACATTTGGTCTGCTTTATTTGTTAAAGTCTTGTTCATTACTCACAAGACGCGTAAACACTTCGTACTGTTTCCACCCAACTGGTTTGTAAACTTTAATATCATGTTATTTACAAGCCACCTCAGTCACCTCAGTTTTTATTTACAAAGCTATTCTTAGTTAATCCCCCCCTTACTGTCATGTTCACAGCCACACATGGTTATGTTTTCCCAAGCCACACTCTCTCATCACACAGTTGGTTTGATTCTGAATTTGTTTATTTGCTTTTTACTTTGCATTGTTTAATTTAAGTGTACATATTGTAGCATTGTAGGGTTACACAGGGAAATTGTTTGATATTAATCATCTGTTTCTTTGTCATTGAGTTATCGTGGTTGTTTGGGGAGGTTCCTTCCTGGTGGAGCCGTGGTTATTATCATGGCATTATTCGGTTTGGCCAAGCCAGTAAATATGCTCCCTCGTGTGTCATTTTGACAGGTCAGTTTGTTCACTTAACACCTTGTTTAGTTATTATATTTAGTATAGTTAAGTTATGTTGACCTTGTGTGGAGGCCTCATTATTCATCTCTTGGTTTGTAATTTTTCATGCACTTTTTGGGTAAATAAAAACCCACGGTTTTGTCCTTGTTGCCTCACTGCTTGGTCCCAAACAATCTTCTCCCTTGAGCATGAAATTTGGAAGTTATAATATATGTTCACAGGACTTTTTGAGTCTTGTGTCTGAAGTCAGAACTGCTTTGGGAAAATAACTTTTAGGTTCTCTGCAGCTACAACATGGAGCAATCTGCAAAGTGATCTAAAGATTTAACACATGGTGACCTTGAATGTGTTTAAAACCATGGTGAAATCATTGAATCCAGGCTATTCTGTGAAACTCACTTTGATGTGCTGTTATGCAAACTTTATTTGTTGTTGAAACTCTGTGTTGCTGCTATTCTTGGCCAGGTCTCCTTGTAAAAGAGATATTTGATCTCAATGGGACAAACCTTTTTAAATAATAAATAATAAAAACTAAAAATAAAATCCAGTCTATTCTTCCACTAGGTGAGTGAAAGCCTTGCTAGCTTCCACTTTCTAATAAAAACTGAATAGCATAATGGCTCCTCCTAAATGTCGAATGCTGTAAAGGAACAGATGTTTAAATCACAGTGCAGGCTACAGCGCTATATCCATAGGCGCTGACAGCTGGTCTCCTAGCAACACCAGCCCTCAGATGTCAGTCAAACCCTTCCATGGGAAACACCCACCCTGAGGCTTGAAGTTTAGACAATGTTTCCCCAACTATGTATAGAAAATGTATTATCCTCTTTTGAAAAATGGAAAGCCGTGCACAATGGCTGCTGCATCATTTATATTTCCTCACAGACAAAGAGAAGAGAAAACAAGTTTCATTTTTTTACTTTAAAGACCCGACCAGTGACATTTTTATTTATTGAAACATGCGACTTAATGAAAAACAAGCATTTCTTTTCTTAAATTAAAGAGCTAAACTTTTCATATATTAGATTTTGTCTAGCAGCCGTACAAAAGCTCTTTGTGTTTTTTGGTGTTGCGGACACATTTCAATTGAAGTTCAATATCCAGCCGTGTACACACTCCTATTGAGGCTGGCTTTTCTTTGTTGTTTGTTGTGGAATTACAGCTGAAGAGTCAAAGACATCTATTCTGACTTCCTCTGCTTTGATCGACACACCAGGCGAGAGCCATCTTATATATCCAGAACAGATGTTTTTTATCGTTCATACAGGTTTCAGTCCTGTCCTCTGTTTGCATTGGGATCCTTGATTTTGTCTCATGAAGCAAAAGAAAAACAAACACATACTTCTTCAAAAACCTCACCGGTTACAGACAGCACAGTCCAGGTGCCGTTTTGCAGCTCATCCGTGGGCTCATCCAGTAAAAGGATTCGACACTCGTACAAGCCCTGGTCACCCAGCTGCAGGTCCTCCAGCCTCAGGTCAGTGACTCGTACCAGAGACACCCGCCCTGCAGAAACACAGTGCAGGTAAAAAGGTGAAAGGGTGGACGTGAAGGGCATGAGACAGGCCTACCGCACGTGACGCTGATTTCACTTGTCATCAGGTCTGAGCTGTGTGTAACTTTCAAAGTGAGAGGCTTTGCTGTGCTGCAAAAGAACATTGTCCTCAAACGTTGCCCGAAACTGCCGCACACCAAACACACACACACACACACACACACACAAACAAACAACAGCAAACACATGCACACACAAGCGAAAGAAATGTGATCTCCTGGTTGCCAGGTGACGGCTCCCTCGAGCCGGAGCGCAGCTCGCAACATCAACTCTTTATCTTTTCCAGTCTGCAGCCCACATCTTTTTGTGTCCTTCTAGTTTTCACACTTTATCAGACAGACAATTGTGCAGTGACCTAGCAGCGTGGAACAACACGGCTGAAGAGAAACTGTCAATGAAAGCATTATTAAGGATGGTCGTCTCTCTGCACCATCTCAGAAATACAAACATGAAAACAGCAAACACATTGCGGCGTGGAAGCCTCGGTGCCGCTGGGATGGCTGTGTGGCGATGGTAATTATTAACAGAGGCTCTGATTTCTCGTGACTGTGGCAGGGAGGGACAGCCCTGACAGTGAGAAAGAACCAGGAAGTTGGAGTTAGGTATGTTGGCAGCGATAACACACCTTATTTACTTTTCCAAGCCGCCAAAGGGGACTAAATCCACAGGGGAGGGAGGGTAGGGAGGGTTAAAGTAGAGCAAAATACACATCAGCAAACACTCGGGGGATTAGTGCATTTCAAAATCCTACCCTTTGACCCCTACCCCCCCCCCCATGTTGACTGGCTCAGTGTGATATAGGTCAGTATAGCACCTTAGAGGAAAGGCTGTGCTGAGGCAGGGATGTTGTGTGGAAAACGTGACTGGGAGCCAGATAAAAGGAAAGGAAAGGGTGGAGGTGAAGTAAGAGCTTGACCCAGCGCCACGACTGCTGCCATTTGAAAAAAAAAAAAAAACAAATCGCATGACTGCATGAGATTTGAATGCAAGGTAAATTGGGTGTGAGAGGGAGAGAGCAGAGAAAGAGAGAGAGAAATGTATGTGTTTCTGTGTTTGTGCGGTGCATGTCAGAGTGTAAAAACAAGTGTGTGCACGCATTCAACACAAGCTTTAGTGAGTTCTCCGTGTGCAAACAAATGGAGATTTTAGTTAAATTATGTAAATTGAGCTTTGAATTGTTGCCGTAAATAAAAACAAACATTTCCCTGCTCCTTTTAATCCGAACTCACTTGTAGCCACCAAAGAAAAATCAAGAAATTCAAAGCTTTTATGAAGATAAAAGAAAAGGGGAATGCATTGTTGTAGCAGTTTTTGTTAGCAGTTATTGATTATAATGTACATTACAGAATGTGCTGCAGCACTGCTAACTGTGTTACTGAATGCTTTTTCATTTAATTTTGGACCTAATTTAATTTACAAATGTATTCTGTATCCCACAATTATCATTTGCACCCCCTCAACATCAGTGTTGGACCTCACAGATGCTGCTGTGGCTGGATGGGAGCAAATCTCTGCAGCCAGATTCCAAACCCTGGTGGAAAACAAATAGAGGCAGTGAGAGCAGCAGATTAATGCCTGTGGTTTGGGAATAAGGTGTTTTTGAGCATGTAGTGTATTTGTCATGGAAACAATGAATAAAAAGGACACTGAACTGTTTGCTGAGGTCATTTGACAAATACACAAAGAAAATGCCGACTGCTGTTGATTGTTAAAAAGAAAAACAATTCTGCTTTGGATTATTCTTACACCTACTTTCTTTATCAAACAGAAAGAATACAACTGTACACCAATCCACGTCTCTCTCTTTCACCGAACTCAAGACTAATGTCAGCCTAATTGTCTTGTTAACTCATAGTAAAACAAACTTCAGTACAACTCAAAGGAAAAAAAACCCAAAACCAACCAAAGCCATCCTAGGCCCTGATCACACAGAAAGTGTTTTTGCAGCTGGAGGTGCCTTTTGGTGATTGTTTTTAATGAGAATGAAGCTTTTTGCTGGCGTTTTTTGCGCTGCGACGTGCCTCGGGTTTCTGCACTCTCACTGCCTGGTGTGTTTTGCCCTGAACTCTGAACTCCTGGAAAAGAAAAAACTTAAAACCAGAGCAGAAAAGCGCCCCACGTCATCTTTTTTTCGCCATCTTTTTTCCCCATTGTCCAGTCAGATGATTTGAGAGGCGGACCTTCTGTGGTGGTCACAACATGAAGTTTAGAAGAAACTGGTGATAGCAGTTGCTGGATACCTATAGCTATACAGCTATACAATAGACAGCAGGTTGTCAAACTGCCTCTGAGTCATGCTTAAAGGATAACTTTGCTATTTTTCAACCTGGGCCCTATTTCCCCATGTGTATGTGTGCGTATGATTCATAGGTACAACTCGTTTTAAAATTGGTTCAGTATTGAGGGAGGCAGATGCAGCCGGCAGCCGAGAGGTAGATATGGGGGCAAATGCGTCCTGTATAAGTTTGCGCATTAAAAGTGCTTTTTTTGGTCACTGACCGGTTCAGATCGCCAGTGTTATCTCTGTAAATAGCTTCTTCACTTGCTCTGGGCTGTGACGTCATCTCGCAAGAGCTTTGCTTGTTGCCGGAAGAAAACACAGGAGCCATGCTGAGCGCCGCTCAGAGTGGCGCTGGTTGTCCCGGAGTACATTGAGAGTTTTACTGCATCGACTGAAAACAATGGTTCGTGTTTGTGCTTATCCGAATTGCAAGAACAGGATGTCGCGTAACACCCCGTACAGCTTTCATAGGCTGCCTTTGTCCGACGGCGAGATGCTGAAGTTGTGGCTAGTTGTGCTACAAATGGATGCTAACACTCCTGTCCAGACACTGCGCCTTGCAGACCATCGGGTCTGCAGTGCTCACTTCTCCCAAGATGACTACTGCCAGCCGAAGAAGAGAAGACATCCAATCCCGAAACACCTCTTCCTCAAGAAAACAGCTGTCCCACGAGTAGAGAGAGCTACAGACACAGTGGAGCAAAGCTCTCGTGAGATGACGTCACACAGCCCAGAGGTAAGGGAAACGTTGAGTACGCTATTTACAGAGATAACACTGGTGATCTGAACCGGTCAGTGGCAAAAATAGCACTTTTAATGCGCAAACTTATACGGGACGCATTTGCCCCTGTTACCGTTTTAGCTCGTTTCGCGGCTCCCGGCTGCATCCGCCTCCCTCAATACTGAACCAATTTTAGAACGAGTTGTACCCATGAATCATACGCACACATACACATGGGGAAATAGAGCCCAGGTTGAAAAATACTGAAGTTATCCTTTAAATATGCCTGGAAACGTCCATCATGGAGGCGAAGCTCCTGGACCAACTGGTGGTACTCCTCGTGATCCACCCTCTTTTTTAGGGTCTCATGTACCCACACAGATCTCCGTTTCCCTGTGCCCAACAAACTATTTGCTGACAGACTCTCACCCTCAACCAGAGCTACAGCAAGTACCCTCTGCCTGAACATTTTAGGAACTAGATACTAATTACTGTGGAAGAAAAGTGGTTGATTGATTACATGGGAAGGTTAGTGTAAGGATGTGATGGGGCGGTTTCCTGGAAACAATAAAAAGGCACAGCAAGCATTTTTTTTAACCAAAGTGCGGTGGGCCTCGCATTTTGCAGCCTGCAAAGCAGTTTCCGTGTGATCTGGGTCTTACTGAGTCTTGTTAGCCATCTAGTTAGTCAGTCCACTGTACCAACAATCACCAACTCTGCTTTGGTTGAAATAAACCTTTAATTCACTAAGTTATAAGTGAAAATGTGCTGCCTCTACATGTTGTTTATCCTCACAGTCTCAGCTGTCCACTGAGCAGCAGCTCTCACCTGTTCTTCAGTGCATCATGTTTTAACAAACATGCAAATACACCAAACAACAAAACAAACAACAAAAGAAACAGGGACAAAACAGTTATGGTGATATTTTAAAAGTCACATATTGCTTGAGTGAAAACATGCTGTTCCACTGCTTGTTTGGTCGTTACCGCAAAACCTCACCTCAGTGAGTTTGTGACTTGCTGTAGGTAGGTTTGTTTATATGGAAGTTAGCCCGCTACAACAGCTGCAATGCCATGGTACACATAAAAATGGCCGTCACTCTGACCACCCTGCTACAATGATTTGAATGGAAATGCCCGTTCTACTTACTTTTGATTTCTGTTGTATTTGTATTCAATAAAACTGCTCTAGAGACCCCCTACAAGAATAGTGGAAGGAATACTTCACCCACAACATGACTCTTTGTAAATTATTTAGTCATGCTGTGTTACATTAAATACTTAAACTGAATTCCTTACTTGCATGTGTAGGCATTAAGCAGAATGATTAATTGATTAATTAGGGACCAAACTCTCACACAACTCGTGCAGTATAATCCAGTCGTATGCTCAGTGCTTCCCGAACACGTGCATTTTTGCTAAACTTTGCTGAACTCACACAACCTGCAAACTTTGTTTTATTGGTGCACATTTGTCAAAGATTCACAAGTAAAATGTCTCACATATATTTTCAGTGATAAGTACCATGTCTAGAGCATGTAGATATTTAGTTATGGTGGAATACATTTAGCAAATTTGATTTTAGGCTTGTTATGTCCATGTTGCAAGTTTATAATGCTGGGTCAGAGTGCGTGGGGATACTGCACTTCTCACATGTTCACATATGGAAAAATATACCAATAGAAATGTAATGTTTTTGATGATTTACCATAACTAAGTTCTAAATGTGTTTGAGTTTAGACCAGAGATGAGTAAATTAATAAATGATTTCTGTTTGCAGTATTTGAAACCTGATCTGTATCTTATCAGTTAAAATATATATTTAACTGAATCTGTTTATTTCCAGGCTTTATTTGTTTGTTTACCCAAATAGCTGCTTGCAGCATCAGAAACAGGTTCTGAATGCTCTGCAGTGTTTTGGAGGGTGCTTGCTGCATTGTTCAGGAACAG